AATGGTAGGCAATGTTTTTCTACCTCAGTTGTCATACAGTTTCCCAGATGGAAATAGAATGAATACTCGAAACGAACAGACTATTCACATAGAGACAGGACTGAATACATTGAATCATGTTAGTACACTTTTTTCATCTAAAATGAGTTGCTTGAGAATGAATTTATTATACTTTTTTGAAGCATGCAAAATGTGAGCACTTATGTTCTCCTAGCATATAATAAGGCATTCAAATTAAGACTACATTTTTAAAATTTAAGCAACAACTCATACTAATCAAGACAAAGCAGATTCTTGAATTCAGTTCAATTCAAGCAGAAGTAACCCAAGCCATACCTCTCTCTTCATTAGCTACCACTTCATCAACAGTTCCGTTGTACCAGAAATACAGGTCAACTTGCAGTCTTATGAATATTTCTGCTCCTTAACAATTCAGCATTGGCGATTAATAAAACAAATGACGCCATGCTGAGAATCTATAATAAATAATACGTATATCACAAGTGTTAAACGTGAAAATTTTATTTAGAGCTCTTTCAAAAATTATCCTTTACCAAATATCATGAAATCACAACGAAAAATGCAATTCGTTGTAACACAAAATTCAACCTTTTTGTTACTTCCCTTTCATTTGTTACCTCACAACTCAACGAATACGCGATCTGAAACCTAGTTTTAAACTCCAAATCTTTGCAACATTTTATTCAAACTTGAACGTCACGCAACACATTTCATATTCCTGGATACTCCACTCTTCAGTAATGTGTAGATCTAAATTTGGAAATAAAGAATGAAAAAGAGTATTTTCAGTATAATTGGTGCTTTTCTAAATTGATTATGTAATGTTCTATTATTTATCCACTCTATGTGCGTGAACTATTTTTTGCTTCTTGCACTGTTTCAAAAAAAATTGAATGGAATTCTTTATAGAAATATTCATGTGTGAGTATTAATATAAGTCATTTAAAAGATAAGTGTTGTTGGTTTGACTAATATCAAGAATTCATTTGATTTCGAGTCATTACTGGTTGAAAAGTATTTATACTTACTTGATAAAAATGTAAAAAAATGTGAACAAAAGTTGTGATTAGTTAATACTTAACGCTAAACTTAATAACAATAAAGATGCAAAAACATGTATGTTATTTTTTTCAACTTGGAGTAAATGACAAAGTCTAGTTGAAATGGTTTTTTTTTTTCAAATGATTTTTTTAGCCAATTTTTTGACAGTTTTCATTAGTTTTAGAAATCGAATAGAAGTCAGTTTTAACTTTTCAAAAGATATGATAAATTTTGCATATTATTTTTTCCAAAAATTTAAAGTCTTTTTTGAATCCTTCGTACTTTGAGTTGTTCGAAGTCAGTACTTCAGATCGTTCAAAGAATGAAATGCAGCATATTTTACTTAGCTTTCTCAATTCCTATCGTAACTTCACAACAAAGTAAAAATATGCGTGAAAAATTAGCATATTTAAAATGAAACAATTTTAATATTCACTGATTAGAAAAATGAAAGAATTTCTATTTTTTTCTTGTAAAATTTCACTTTTCATTTTTATTTGCATATAATCCCAAAACTATTAAAGTTACCTGCATAAAGAGGCACATAAACATTTTTTGATATTATGTTTTGGAACGATTGCAAGCGGTTGCTATTTTACTTATTTTTATCTTCAATATTTAATTGAGTTTCTAAGCGTATATCTAATGTGGCAGTACTGATTTGCGATTTCTGACTCACTGTTGCTATTTGTTAATAAGTATATTAATAATTAAACATTCACTTCTATAAGTTTCAAATCATGATCAATGAACAAAGTACTTTTTTTAATTAAAGCACAAAATCATTTTAATAAGCATTAATATTTAATTATAATACATATTGTAAATAATTTTAAATTGTAAGTTAGATGAATGACAATAATAAAATAAATGATTACAATTAATTCAAAGCTAGTAAAATGCCTATTACATTTTTTCATTTATTATTTTTGTTAAATTTTACTTAAAACACTTTTTAGAGTTAATCTCAAATAATGGTTTTATTTCAATTGCCTAATACACCTGAATTAGCACGAAATGCAATCCGCATCAAGGCTACATTACTTAGAAATGCTATATCTGAATGTGTTGGTACATTTCTACTTTTAGTAAGTTTGTGTCTTAATAAATATTTTTTTCATACACCAAATATTATTTTCACTAACTAATATTTGCCAAAACGCAGAAAATAATCATTAATTAATATTTTTGACAGGATAAATTTTTATATTTTGAAATGAAAAAAAGAATCCCTTTCTTCAAGTCACGCATAAATATGAATTAATGGGAAATTTAGTAATTTTTTACCACCGTAAATTTTTACGTTTGCTTTTTTTCAAATCCAAATTTGAGATGAAAAAATTTTCATCATTAGTGTTCGTTTGCAATTTTTACTTAGATAGCGGCTATTTCGTAATATAACTACTATGATGATTATGGTGCTAGCGATTAACACTTAGTCATATTGAATTGCTTAATGTGTGAAACAATTTTAGTTCGTTGGAACAAGTATAATTGCGCAGTTAATTCTATTCCGTGGAAGCGTGAATTCATGGGTTCAAATAAATGTTGGCTGGGGCTTTGCCATTACAATTTCGGTGACAGCTGTTTCTCATATTTCTGGTATGTTAATTACTTTAAATTCGGTAATAGCAGCAAATTTGATGTAAGTATGTAGCAATGAAAAAAATAGACATAAAAACATTTACATAAAATTTGCTGGCAAAAAAAGTAGTAATTTGATTGATGCTTTTTGGTATTTTTTAAATTTGAAATTAAAATAATTAATTATTAGGTGGACATTTGAATCCAGCAATATCGGTACTTTTTTTTTCGATGGGTGCATTGGATATTACTTCATTAATTGTATATATTGGTGCACAACATCTTGGTGCATTTTTCGGGGCATGTGCAACTTATGCTGTTTATCGTGGTATTATTCTTAAATTTTCATGTCAAATAATAACTTCCAATTTTCATAAAATGATGAACGATCATTTATTACAAAACAAATTTCAAAAGAATCTTTTTAGTTTCCCTTAAAATAGCAGACTTTTTTCTGTCTTAAATTTAAAAGGGGGTAAAATTTAACAACATTCAAAAGCAAATTTTGGTTTTGCAAGTCTCATCATGCAAATCATATAATAATAATAATAGAATGAAATTCATTAAGATGCAATAAACAATTATGATGGTGGTGTTAGAGCAATTTCTGGGCCTACTGGTACAGCGGGAATTTTTGCTACATATCCCCAATCTTTCATGTCTCCTTTAGGTACTTACCTAGATCAAGTAAGTGTGTCAGATTTAATATGCATTTTTGTCGTAGATTACAATCATTTTGTGGTAAATGACTACATACGTTGAGCTACTAATTTAACAAATTTTCATTTTATACGGTATAATTTTTATTTTTTGGTGATTCTTTCATAAACTGCATTGCAATATGAATATTTGCTTGGAATACAGATAGCAGGAACAGGATTGCTTGCATTTTGTGTACTAATGATTATTGACTCGAGAAATAAAATCCCATCTCAAGCACATCCACTACTATTTGGATTATCTCTGCTAACAATTGGATGTGGATTTGGTGCTAATTGCGGTTATCCTCTGAATCCAGCAAGAGACTTGGGACCTAGAATATTTACTGCATTTATTTATGGAAAAGAAGTTTTCACGTAAAAATTTTTTATGTTTTTTATTTACAAATTTTGATTGGTATCTTGTGTTAAAATTTGTTCACAATTTTTTCTACTTGCTTCTTTTCCATTCATTTTCAAATACAGTAAATTATAATTTTTTAATTTTTTCAAAAAAAAATTTCAGATTCCTATAGTAAAATTGCAAACTCGTACTTATGCCTGTAATTTTATTAAATTACAGGCATAAATATGAGCTTGCAATTTTACTATATGAAAACGAATAAAATTTTGATCAAAATCCCAAGGTCATTAATTTGGTCACAATTATGGGTTTTGGTTCTCAAAACAAAAGTTTCATTATTTGTTTATGAATATCGCTCAAATACAGAGCCATATTAGCTTTGATTTCTAACGACTTAGTAGTCGTTAGAAATCAAAGCTAATATAAAGTTAACGTTGGCTAACAAAATACAATAAAAAATACAATGATTCATTTTGAGCAAAGACAGTTCACTCAAAATACATCGGAATTAAATCAATCAGTATTTATAACCGATGTTTATTAACCATAATTGCTTCGATAATTAGAAATAACTGATTTGATATTATACTACTTTAGATTTCCATGGACTTGTTGGTTCTTGGTACCAATAATAGCTCCAACAGTGGGTGCATTAATTGGTGGTTGGTTTTATATATTGCTACTAGGCTGTCACGTACCAGATGAAGAACCAGAAAAAAATAATGCATTGAAAGAAGACATAGCAAAACCAGAGAACGCAACTTGAACTTAATGGTCAATGAAAGATAAAACTATATGGAATTTCTTGATAAAAAAATTGATAAACTAATTTTAAAAAGAAAAATTAAACAAATAATGGTGGAATTACTGATGATAAATTCATGGTTAATTTGTATATAAATCACTCCGTAATAAATTCATGCATGAGTTGTAAATAAATCACTTTGTAATAGTAACCAAATGTGCATCAGTATGAAATAAAGTACAATACTAGTGATCAATTCAAATTTGGATTCAATGAGATAAAATTTTGAAACGAGCTATCGGGTATGAAGTGATTAAGGAGAAAGGAAAAATTCACTTTTAATTAAATAGTGTTCATTTTGTTTCATAAAGATTTTGTTACTGTTAGCAGATTTGATACATAACTACAAAAGTCATTATATTTCAACATATTTTATATAATTATATCAAAGAATTATTTTGATTATTAAAAGTATTGATCGTGAAAATAAAAATTTTTAAAAAGTGAAAAATATATTATTATCATTTACCTCTATATTATTATCATTTATGATTTTAAGAAGCAATAATAATAATAATTATTATAATTAATAAATAAATAATGTGAAAGTTAGTTTTAAAATTCACTTTATTGGATAATAAATAATAATAATAATAATAATAATAATAATAATAGTAACAATTTTCGAAGAATAGTGTTTTAAAAAGTATGAAAGATTATAGAGATTTGTAATGGACTGATTTTATTCGAATTAGACTTCATTTGAAAACGTGATTATGAGCTGGGAAGTTGCCAAGGCAACGTTATTTTAACCAGCATATAAAAGGCTTAACTCTTTAACTAGTAATCGTCATCAAGGCAATCCATATGAGCAGTGATATGTCCACATCATTGGTCAATTTTGATCTTTCTCAGCAAAAATTACAGCAATTACGTGGAAAGGTAAGTGAAAAATACATATTTTATTGTAATATTTTAGAAAAAAGAAGTTAGTCAATTAAGTAATAAGTCAAATGTGATAATTTTTTTAATGAGAAATTATTCATTTTGCATTGTATTACGTGAAAATATTTTAAATAATATTTAGGAAGAGATGAGGGAAATATTAGCTTTTGCTCCGAAAAACTATTTGTGCAGATATAATGTAAAATCACATAAAAAATGACGAATAATTTTAGGAAATTTCGCTATCATTTATTGCAAGAAATCGCTTTCTTAATAATAACCTTTACTAAAAAGCATTGCTGAATGAACGAGGATAAATCTTTAGAATTTGCGTAATATACAAACTTTAAATTAAGATTGAAAAGCTGAAAGAAGAAAAAGAATTACAAGAAAATGACGATTCTTTTAATGAGTACCAATTCAAACGACAATTTGATGGACTACAAGAAGAGATTCAAAATTGGAAAAGCAAAGTGGAGAAAACGGAAACTACAGAAGAACAGCAAACAAAAGAAGAATTGATTGTAAATATAAGAACTCTTTCAGTAAGTTCAATTTCAATTGAAGATAAACGTTTCTCTATATTTATATTAAGTTTCATTCCACATATTTTAACTCCTAATTATTAAGTAATAAAATTACAGTTAAAACTCATCAAATTGTTATTTAAATATAAAATTACTTTAAAAAGTTATTTGCTTCAGCTTATAATGAGTGTTGCTTCTGAACCAGTCGTTATTGGGATAATACATTATTAGGAAACAATTACTGCAGTAAAAAGCGATTAATCTAAGAGTCATGTTTATGTCTCATGAAGCTTTGTTAAATTTGAAAAGGACAAATCAAATTACATTTTGAAATTTTAAAACTGACCTTTTCGTTTGACAAATTTATAATTAACTTTTGCTCTTCTCAGTGTACACAAAAAATTTTTTATTTCAGGATCAGCTATCAAATTTAGTGGTACCGAGGAATTCACATATAACAAATGATGTTATCAAACAAACTTGCAAGAAAAATATAAGGTATCATTTTCAAGGCACTTTAGAAATATTATCTAAAATATTAATTAAAATTAAAGATTTGAAAGTTTAAAAATTTAATTTAAAAAAAATGTATTAATTTGTTTAATGGAAGAGATGAAAAAAATGTGATGACAAAAATAGCGAAGTCAGAAAATATTACGGAAATTTCATCAGAAGATTCTTCATCTGATCCAGATTTTGATTCTGAACATGCAGAAGTTATCAAACGCAATACAATGGAACAAAATGACTCAGAGTGGGTTTTTATTAGTCAAAATGGTGTTTGAACATTTCTTTTTCCACTAATCTTTAAAGATGATTATCTAAAAATGCATGAATGTAACTCCTTGAAATACTGCTATTCTTCAAGTCAATCTCTTAAATTAATAACGATGATAATAATAATATTATTATTATTATTAAAAGTATTATAATTATTCAATATAAATATTATTAATAGTAAGAATAAATAATAATAATTACAAATTTTAATATTTAGCGAAAATAATTCAATCTTAATACATCTTTATATATTTTCACTGCTTGCCTTATAATTTTCTAAAATCTATTTCTGTTAAATAAAACAAAAAGATTTCAGTTCAGTCTGTTCTATAGAATAATTTAGTCAAAGTTATATTATTTTCAGTTCATTTATAGCGATGTCCATTTTGGTCCTATTTTAAAGCAGAGTTAATGCATGATTGTCAACCTTTTTCTATTATTTTAAAACATATTTAAATCTTTTTTCCGTGTTCAATACTAAATGTTTGCGAGGGTCAATTTTTTTAAAATATGTGGCCTTGGTATTTTAGGAAGAAATCAGAGCACCAAGAACAAATTACTGAGAGCAAGCAATTCATTGCTGTAGCAAACTTCGAAGCACAGGATAAAAATGATTTAAATTTAAAACAAAATGATGTGGTAAATATTATTGCTACTCGGTGAGTAAAATATACAATTATAAAACTTTCCTGAAAACATATTAACGATATAATACACAGCTAAATCTCTTCACATGAAACAAGCCTTAAATTTGTTCATTTTGAACTTTCTTCCTTATAAATTAATCATAATTACTATGTTTTATTTATGTTTAGAGAAGATGGCTGGTGGTTAGCAGAAAATGAAAAAGGAAAACAGGGATTTGTACCTAAAACATTTTTAAAAGTCCACATTCCCAATGAGAAGATAAATGAAGACGTTTACACAATTAATCCAATCCCACGGCAGAAAGTCACTTCAGAAACAATAAAAACTTCAATTTCTCCAATAACAACTGCAGAAAACGAGCAACAAATTATTATTTCGAATGCAACAGAATTATCAAATAAAAAAATAAAGCAAAATGAATTTGCGAACAGTCAGACTAATTTTAAATTAATAAATTCAAATTCTGAACAGCATTTTGAAACTAAAATTCTTGGACAATCTGCTTTAAAAAGTATTGAAGATTCAACTCAAAATCTCGAACAACAAAAGTCTTCGACAACTCCTATGGTTACTTTTTCAATTACTGATTAGAATTCACTTATAATTTAATTGAAATAATTAAAATATAATTTTTTATTTGCTTACTTAAATCTATCAATGATGTCATTTTGGTTGTTGGAATCGTTTCAAATTAGTTTGATTTTTATATAATAAAATAGTGAAACAAATTAAAAAATTGTTGATTACTTGCAATTTTATTCTGGAAGCACCTATCGAATAAGTAATTTTTAGACACTGCTATACAATGCGTCATTTAATGCATCCGAAATGATCAATGATGATGGCAAGATTTTGCAAAAATTTTCAAATTTTAATTTCATACTTTTATTAATTATCTAAATAATATATTCATTTAACAGTTTGCAACAAAAAGCAATGCCCTAAGTTTATGAAAAATTATGATATAATAATAACTTTTTAGATGATCACACAACATATAAATGTTATTTGGCGCCTCGTCTTAGTGAATCTAATTGTGCATTTCATGACATTTATTGGAATTATGAAGATGATAGAGTATTAATACTATTTCCATATTTTTTTTACATGTATTGTACAATCAAAATAGTACTATTCACGTTTGACAATATTATAATGAAAAAAACATTGAATTATTTATCAAAACTTTTGGTAAAATTGTTATGAATTATATGGAAGAAACAGAATTAAAATATTATTTACCTTATGATGAATTCTCTGTTTCAGAGAAAATTTTATTTCTCAAAAGAATGCTGATTGTCTTATAGCTCAGAAAAAGACGAGTTCGAGTGAATAAATTAATAGAAATAAATTGTCTTGAAAAAATTTGCTTAAATGCTATTGATGTAAATCATCGACTGATTAGAGCGTATTTAATAGATCAGAAGAATGCTAATGGCAGTTATCGAATTGTAAGTCATTTAAAGTTTTTATTGAATTAAAATATAATACAGTAGTACAAGTTATTTTTGCATAAATTAAAATTTTTATCTACTTTAATCTTTTAAAAATAACAAGTTATTTGTCTTACTTAATTTTGGTATAACTAAAGCATTAAATACATCATTTTAACAGCTGATGCAAAAATTTATAATTAGTAATATTAGTTTTAGAGAATTAATTGTTGAATCTTTTTTGAGGTGAGCAATGTATACACTATCAAAGCACATCCACGTAAACGTAATCAGCAAACGTGGATTTTTTCTAAGAAGGTGAATTCGTTATAAATATGAAAGTTCTAAAATCATCTATCATTCTAACTTAATTTGCTTTTGTGTTTCAAACAAAAGTTGTTTTATAGTCAAACAAACTTTTTCTTAATTTTTTTCGTAGTTAGAACTTCAAAAAAAATTGGAAAGTAACATTCTGAATTGGTGTAGAAAAATAATATGGAGAAAAGTTCGATCGATCATCCATCCTTTATTTTACGCTCAAATTACAAGCAAAAAAGTGTTGTATTATGTCTAGAAGCTGTAATTATATATACGGATCAAGTGAGTTATATTTAAACAAAAGTATTATAAACCTTTGGAATACAATGTTTTTAACATGCTCACAATCGTTGCATTATTTATTAAAACA